TTAAAAAATCAATCTATCAAGGTTAAAACAAGTACATAGATTCACAAAGTTTAAGACTAATGAAGTGAAGATTAACCAAAATAAAGTCCCTGAAACATTATCTTTTACTTAAGGGCTTTCATTCTCATAGAGACTTCCTAGGGGGTAAAGTAAAGTGAGGGCAGGAAGAGGAAATTTCTTGTAAATCAAATTAAGGTAAGCTTCTTTGAAAAACTTGTTTAAAAGTTTGAGTTTTCTTGAAGTCTAGAAGATAGAAAACCTGGTTAGCTCTGCATAGGTGACTTGGGTGAATTTCCATATCCAAAGACTAGATAGTAGAAAGCTTGAGTGGTTATTCAGAAACTGAATAGAAGGCTAGGTGAGATAGAGTGATAAGATTTGGGTTTTCCTCAGTCTGGCAGTGAGAGAGACTTTGCAGTAACAGCCATTTGTTTTTATTTATGGCTTTTGACTTCAGAGGAATTTCTCACCCTGGTGCAGTGCTTGCTTGTCTGGGCCAGGCAGTGTCTTATGCAGCTGAGGCAATCCAATTGTAAGCTGAAAGTTGCTCAGAATATTTTGATATTATGATTATACAAAAAAGGGAGGTCATAATGTTAGGATCCGAGAACTCGATTACGGTGAAAGACAGAGCGTCACACAAGAATGCAATTTGCAAAGTAGAGTTTATTGGGCTGGCTAGCCAGGGTCAAGCCGTTCCCTGCCAGACACGTAGGGTTCAGCCAAGACCCCAACCAAAGGAAAGTCAGGGAATATATTGGCCTTGGTGGCCGTTACATACGTCAGAGCCCGCGCAGATTCAACTTAGCAAATGGATTCAAAGATTAACAGACATCACAGCCTGGGTCACAGTTCAACCACCCAATAACAGGTTTCCAGGAATAGATGTCTTATTTCCTGGTGCCTCCAGTCCAATCAGCCTGGGCCACACCATTCCTATTATCCAATCAATTTAAATGTATATTGTCCCTCTTCAACCTATCCTGCATTCCAGGGTGGGGGTGGGGGGGTGCTTGCCTGGGATAGTCTAGCTTTGCTCAGGCCTGCGTTACTTCCTCCATTCCTTCAATAACATAAGTTAGCAGTGGAAAGTCTGATTTTTCAAAGCTTTTCCCGATCTACCCGTAATCTGTCAGACGATAGACGTTGCATAGCTTGTGTCAAGACAGAAATTAATTTTTGGACATCATAAAAGGCACAGGGCTTATTGATTTGAACATGAGCTGTGGTATCCATGTGCATGAACTTCACACATAGCCCATGGCCTTCTGGAAATCACAGTCCACATACAGACCCTGGTACTGATGTGGATTTGTATGCCTACCCTTTGTACACACTCAAGCCATCCTTAAAGAGACCATATCCAGCACTCTGGAGAAGGACACTCTTAGATTAAAAAAAAAATTATTATTTTACATCATGGGCATTATAGATACAAAATGTAGTAGTCTTACAAAACAGAGAAATATAAGTAAATTTCATTAAAAAGTTATCTAATTCAGAACTCAGGGATAAAAATGTCTTCATGTGTTGGATTATTTCCGCTGAATCTATGACTTCAGAGAGTCTCGACTTTGATGGTATCACTACTGAGACCACCTAATTGATTTGGAAGGGAGCACTTCGGCTCAAACTGCAGACTCACAGTAAAACTGGGTGGTGCTTTCTTGTATTTCTTAGTCTTGATGACCTTGACGATAGATAAAAAGACACAATGAGACCCCAGGTGTTGGGAAGACCCTGCAGATTTCCTCCCTCACCCCCTCCATGTTAGATACAATCATTTGCCTTGTCCTTCAGAAGCTGTTCATTCTCCCTTGCTTCTCCGTTAGCAGTTTTCTGTTTTGAACCTGTCCCCTCCCCATCACCTGGAGAGTGAAATAGATATTTCCTAACATTCAGCTTCAGTGTAATTGAGCAAGATGGGGTGGAGTTATGAGGGGAAGAAATTGGTTCACACAGTGCTCAGCACTGAGGGGCATCCTCACGGGACAGGAAAGAAAGGAGGCAAGAGGAGCTGCATGCATCACTCAGGGGGTGGGTCTGGATTACAGGCAAAAGACAGGGACTCTGTGAGGGGCCTAAGAAGCGCCACCACAGACGTGGGTGTCCATTCGTGCACATGAACACAGCGGTTGCTAAGTAGTTATGGACAGTTGTTAAATTTTGATTAGCATTCAAGAGTCCTGTGGAGGGCCTCTGTGCTGTTCACCCACGTGGCTCTTGCGTGTGTGACACAGAGTCTGTGCTCAACTTCTTCCCATGCACTGGTGTGTCAGATGCCTGTAACCTGTGCTTTTTGCCTCAGATGCTGATATTCAAGAACCTTGGCCACTTAAGAGATCAGTTCTGTTGAGCTTCTTTCTCATTCAACTTCTTTATGATGCTTTGCATGCACATTTTCTTCTTTACCCTTGACTACTTTGTTCACTTCTTTTCATGTTTGTGTGTAGTGCCTGTAAATTCAGATCTCTCAAATACCAGTACCCCTCCCGAGACTTCACCTCTGTCTGCCCAGATTCCCCTTCAGATTGTTCAGAGTTTCACTTGGGAGCTAGACAGCCTGGTTTGGGGTCTCACCAGCAATAAAGGCAAATTATTTATTCTTTAAGGAGCTTGAACATCTATATCAATGACATGGGAATCAAATAATGTCTTGTGTTGTCTCAGCTCCCTACATATGTCAAGTGCTTAGTTCTAGTATATAAGTGTATGTATTATTATTTCTTTCAGTAATATCACTCAAGGTAAATTGACAATTACCTCTAAATCGACATATCCTATTGATATTCCCATCTCTGAAAGCTAGCATATTTTTTTTTTTTTGCTAAAATGTCAAAGCAATCAAGCATTGTCCTGCATATGGTCTTTCAATGTCACTTATTTTCACAATGAAAACATGAATTTTTCCTTTTATTTATTTTGACAGCCTGTGCTGTCTGCCTACCACTTCTACTTCTTTATGCTCTGAACTTGTCTTCCTGCAATTTTTTTACTTCCACTGAATTTCAGCTGTTTGAAACTCATCAAACTGCTTCATACCATTAAGGACCAGCTTCCTAGACCAGCCTAGGACCAGCTTCCTAGTGTCTTCACCTAAGTAAAACAGTTTCTCACTTTGTACCAGGCAGTGAGATAATGCAGATGCTGTATCCCTAACATTTCAGTCCATGCTATAAGAGATTTGGGTTACTTTGGAGGACCAAAGTGGTTAAACTGTTTCCCCAACATTGAGTAACTAGTGAAAGTGAAACCAGAATTCAAATCAAGTCTTATACAAGCCTTGCTCTTGAACACTGTGTGAAATTACTTCCATGCTAATTTCCACTTCCACTTCTAATTTTCTCAAATACTTTCTTAATTAGCACAAGTATCATACCCTTTGAAGTCTACATGAGTGATCTCCTCAATATCTTTAAAACTCCACTTATAAACCAGAACAAGGACATGGTTAGTTTTAGTGCTCACTTCTTGAAGACTATGGGTAAGAGAGCAAGAACATCATGCTCTCCAAACCTGTTTGGGAAATGAATGTTTCTCTACTCACACCCTACCTGGAGGAAACTGTGATTTCCACACGTCAGATTCAGCTTGTGATCAATCATTCTCAGTTGCCAGCAAAAGAGTCGAAACTTATCTCCTTCCTCACACTCAATTTTGTGCCATTTCCCACTTCCTACTACATCCATCTTCCCTGTATTATCCTGTATTTCATAGATTGTATTCTTCTTATTCACTTTTTTCTGCAACAGAAAGTTAGCATTCAGTTATTGAAAACACGGTTTATAAAGAATCTATAGAACAAGGAAGTTTCTAGCAACTTGTGAATTCTTTTCAACTGTTTCCAGTTACTCACTCTCCTCCAGTGTCTTATTCCTATTGAACTAGCTCCCACAGTTCACACTCTATAGTGTTTATAGTGTTCATTTGCTTTATAACTTATGTGTATATATGGTCTCTTGAAGACAATGTAGGAAAGTAATGGAGGAAAATTAAAATATTATCCTAGAAGATAGATATGTAGCACTGTGAAGCAGTCACTCATATAAAATATTAGGTGAGTTCATAGAAATGTCTAGTATCCTGGCTTTGTAAATATACATATCAGCAAAATTCTCTTTGCCTTTGTCCCCAATAAGGGAAATAGAATGTCATATGTTCCAAATATTATGCCATGTAGTATTTCTAAGTTTTCAATGAACTGCGCGTGAATAATTGATAAATTAGTAAGATAGAGTAGGTAGCAAGGTTTGGCTATGCATTTGCCTACTGATGAATCTATTTATATTCCAAAGTATCCATGCTGATCTATCTATTGCACTGAATATGTGCCCAGCGTTCAACTTTAGTATGTGATCCATTTCTAAAAGCCTAAAGAATGTGGTGATTTATACAGTTGTGTAGCACTTAGAGATAAAATTATTAACACATGCATATTGATAGATAGCCTGCATTGTCCTTATCCATGGTTCCTGAGAATAGATAATCAAGCTGGTGAACTGACACAAGATTTTTTTTTAAATAACTTAATTGGAGGAATCGCAGGTGCAAGAAAGTAAGTGTATCCTTCTGCCTCTTTCAGGTTTTCATATTGGTCCCAGAGCAGAACTTGACCAGGAAATGCAGTTACTTTTAGTGAGACAGAGAAAAATGAAAAAAAAAAAATTTAAGGGCTTACCTTATGAATTTCAAACAACCCATACACCAATGTCCCCGATGCTTGCTTGAGGAGACTGTCAATCTTAGGCGTTTCTGTTGCTCTTTTCATGAGGCTCTTTGGGACCTTAATCAGATGACTAGGGTCTGCGTCAGACACAGAGGACTCTCTATTTACCTCCAGGATTCCTTTGCACTCAAAGTAATCTGATAAAGTAATGGCCTTTGTTTTTGTGAATTTTTCCTTCAGATTGATGTTTAAAACCTTCACTTGGAAAAACTGTTTGTCAGTGGCCACCGTGGCGTGGAACATCATGTCTTTCTCCTGCTCTGGACACTCATATTCAAATGGCTTTGATGCCTTTAACACCATCACAGTCAGGGGACCCTTCTGAGGAATGCTTCTCTTGGCATCTCCCTTGCGTTGAGATGGACCCTTCTGGTTTTGTGGGGGAGAGAAACAGGAAAATAATCTTACAAGTTCCAGCAAGTTTCACTTTCCATGATTAAGACTTCAGTCTTTTTTAAAAGATTTATTTATTTATGTCTACAAGAACTGAGGGATAGGCCAGATGTGCAGGAGATGAGAGGATTCACCAGAGACAGAATGGGGAACAGAACAGGAGGGTTGACTATGTCTGAGGGGAGCAGCTGGAAGGACAGGAGAGGTCTGCTGCACCATGTGGGTCACCTTCCTGGCTGGGGGTCGAAGTTGTGCTGTAGTGGCTGGCTGGTGATAGCTTGATGGCACTGTCTTTAATCCCTGCACTACCAGGGAGGCCCAGTAAAATGTCAGTCTTAACATTTGACAACAACCTTCATAGATGTTTGGGGCTGGAGCCAGGCTAGGGAGGAGCTTCTTCACATAATGAACTGGAAGAACTCACTGAAGAACAAGTAGCAGACACAAACATGAAGTTAGAACCTCTTCATCTAAACAATGATTTTTCTGAATGAAAGTATGATCCTAACTCAAGCTAGCTAGCTATTATATCAGAAGTCCTTAAGGGGCGCTGACCTGGGCTTGTAGATGACAGTGGATCACCGGGAGATTGGACTTCATGTGGATATGGCTTCTTAATAATGTGACCCATTTACTATGACAAAGGAAACACATCAACAAAGCAAGGGAATTGGCAAGAATTGGCACATAGGATTAGTAATAGTAACACAACTAATAATAATAATGACTGTTACTGGGTTGAAGAAAGCTGAAAAAGAGAAGCAGCCAGCAAGTACCTTAGCTGAGGGCATGGAGGATGAAGTGGATGGTAAGCTCTCGGTTGGCGGTGCAAAAAAGTCCATGACTGTGGACTCACTAACTCCTGCTGGATGGGGATGCTGAGTCTGCTCCTGGGACACCTTAGTCTTTTTTGTTCCGGTCTTTTCTTGGTTTGTGTTTTTTCTTTTCTGAAAGTAGTTTAATTTTCCCATTACTGGTTTTCAGTGTTGAATGAAACAGAACATTTGTTTTCCCTTAGCGATGTGATGCCTTAGTAATGCCAGGGAGTCTAAGCTAAGAGTGGGCATAGGCAGAACCATCAAAAGATATGCGGTTGATGCAAACAGTCACATTACTCTATCATCTATCTAACAGTCACTTCTATATCATGATGGGAAGGGCACTGCTCTTCAAATCAGAAAATCGAGGTCTGGTAAGCATGGGCCAGACTAACTTTCAACCTGCTAACTCATCTCTAGAGAGAAAGGAAAGATTGCTACCTTTTCTTTATATTGGAGAGTCCTCTTGTTATAGGGTAGCCAGAGTGGACGAGGCTGCCTGTCTGTGGGGCTTCACCCACACGCTCACAATTCAGTTATATTGCAGGTACACACAAAAGTGTCAATAATGGGTTTATTTACAAAAGGGGAAAGGAATAGGAAACAACCCAGGGAAAGAGAGCGGGATACAAAGTCACTGGAATACCTTACAGCTAGGCTGACTGAACACACCGAGTCACGCCGTCTGGAGAGCGAGAGAGCGCAAGATCCAATGGCGCCCTATTTATCCCCCAAATGTTCCAGAATTCCTGCTAGCTCCACCCTTGGGTCCTTGCAGTTCTCTCCCTGGTACTGCTGGGAGTTGTAGTTTCCAATCACTGGAGTAGGGGGTAGGGTCCAGAAAGCTGGAGTAGGGGGTGGAGTCCATAAGACTCTGCAGAGTTCCTTTAGGACATTCTTCCCCTTAACACTATCACAGAAATTTTGACTACATTTTTGTTAGGCCTTGATCAATTTGGTATATCTGAATTGCTGGAATGTACTAAAAAGCCAAGTGACTGAGTAGATTCCCCCTTCCTGGGGTTTCCAGTGGCTCCCCTTCCTCAGGCTTACCTGGGCAACAGGAGTCGCCTCTGCCCCACTTGGTGTCTGAGTGCCCAATGCTGGAGGCGCAGGGGTGGCAGGACCTGCTCTTTCCGGTTTCTCCTTTTTCTCTGGAGTTTTCCCTTTTGCTCTTAACTTCTTTGCAACTGACATACAAACAAGGAGGACGTGGACAAGTGTTTTAAGGCAGTTGGCACTATTCATTGTTAGATCTTCCCATTCATGGGCGAGGTCTGCTGTGATCAGGTCAGCTGAGCCTCCTTCTAAGCATCAGCCAGCCTGGCCTGGGGACCCACAGCCTAGCAGGGTGCTCTCTCACACCACTCAGGGGCTTCCTCCTCACGCTCCAGCAGGGAACAAGCCCCTCCAGCTTCAGTCAAGTCCCTCCCAGTCAACTGCTCCCCTGTCAGTTCCTTTTAAAATTCCATAGGACGTAAACAGTTTGGGAGGGAGTACACAATGGACCATGGTAGAGGACAATGTGTACACCCGAAGGGAGAAATCCTACATTGTGGAAAATTTAAAAATATAAAGTAATGATATATCATTAATATAAGTAAATATAATTGGGATAAGAAAAAAATAAAATTCCATGTTTTTCATCTTATTGATGAGTCAATCATGTTCTAGAAAAGATCGATTGAAATTGGCAGAAACCGTGGAAAAATACAATATAGATGTGAGGTGACAAAAATGGTGATATCAGCCTGTGTCATTATAAAACGTTTGTCTTTGCCCAGTAATTCACAAAGAATGTGTTCTTCACAGCTCTGTGAGAAGTGTTTATGTTAAGTACTGCTGCTACATCTTGTTACCAAGCGGATAATGAACATGGAACAAAACAGTCATAATAGGGCAAAAGCATTAAGTGGTTAAGCCTACATATTTTAAAATGAACCACAATTATTAAATTATTTTGTAATTTTCTACCATTTCTAATGTATTGGGAGCTCTAGCCTCTTACCTCCTCCTGTTTCGTTACTCATCTCCACCCCAACAATGACCTCTGACACCCACCCCTGCCCTGTTCCAGTGAGGAGCATATTGTCAACCTGTTGACTCTGCAGTGCTGACACCAGGCTGGGTCATGAACTGAGAAAGTTATGCATTAATTGCAGCCGAGGGGATGCCAACCAGAAGTGCCTGGGATTTGAAAAAATTACCATTTAGCTTCTTCTTTCTAAGTGTTTTAGCATGTTCTTGAAGTTCTGGTATGTTTTTGATCAATTCTATTAGTTTTTCCACACAGGCAGCCCCTGGGAAATTCTTTTCCATGAGATCAGCGATCTTAATTCTGTTATACTCTTGTTGCATTTTCGGAGTCAGTTTTAAATCACGGGCCAGTAAAGACTTAATCATCTCAAAATGATAATCACTGATGTGGTGTAATCCATCCAGCAAAACAATACTCTTATATTCATTCACCATCTCTCAAGGGACAGCTGAGCCTGCAAAGAGAAAGGGTCACATGTGTACACATACCACTTAGAGCCTGGTGCTGTCTGTGTGAGTGAGGGGCCCATGCCTAAGTGCCAAGAGGCAACAAACCTTCCTCTGTTTACCTGTCGGCATTCCAGCCCTTGAGCAATGTTATGGCTGCATGGCAGAGGACACAGCCCTGACCGGAAAGCCTTACTTGAGTCACTTTGGAACAGGGAATTTTATATCTTTCTCACTTCTGGTAATAGCACTATTTCTTAGGAAGAAGCAGACTTTTAAGTTAATTTTGATTAAGTTCATAAAGACCAGCTATTTTTTACTCTAATTTCAAACACACTCATCCTGAATCCAATCAGATGGAAATGCTTACACAGAACAGTTTTTGCGTACTAAACTTTAAATATAATATAGCATAAGAGAATCATCATTTTTCTCCAATATCTTCTCTTCAGCATAGTCACTCCACCAGCAGATTAAGTGTTCAGAGCTTATACTTTGTGGTTCAGAAGATTTGGGCCCTGGAACATAATAATCTATAGTTCAATAGATGCAATGAGAATATAAATGATTGAGATCTAAGATCAGACTGAAGCCATCCCAACAAGGGAAATAGGATGGAATTAAGAAATAAAAGAAAAAAAAACAGAATTTACAATAGAATTCAGGGCAAAGTGTTAATATCCACATTATTTGTTGTGAAAACTACAATGAAAAGAAGAAAATATTTCAATAAATAATGAAATAAACTTTTTGGAATTAAAGTAACATGAACATCTTCTGATCCAAGAATATCTTCGGGCCAAAAGAGTGTCAAAGAGGAGACATTTAGTGTAGACATGTTTAAAATCAATAAGAAAAATTTGACAGCTCCCAAAGATAGAGAGAAAATCACTTACAGAGGTTCCAAATCAGGTTCTCAATGACAGAACTGCATGGAGTAGCTGTGTATGGTATTTGCTCCAATCTTCACTTTTGAAATCTCCAAAAATATGAAACCCAATATTGTCTGTGTGAGAATTTCAAGATATTTATTAGAAAAATACCTGATGTAAATTGGTAGGAATCTACATGTAGTATTTTACATGCCACCTTAGTGTTTAAGTTCACATGTCTTGCTATAGAGATGTGAATGCATTTGCCATGTGAATTAGGACCTAGACACTAATGGATCTATGCTGGGTTCTGTAGATGAGGCATGGTTTACATAACCTTTCTTTTGTCCAATTCTGAATACAGTCCATATGTGCCCATAAGTTTTCAAAATTGAAAAACATTTTTTTTAATGTATTTATTTAGTTCCTGACATCATTGTTCATTTGGGAACAGTATTTGATTTCTCCCTTCAGCTCTAGTCCCCATTTCTTCTACTACCACAGCACTCATAAATACCCATCTTTATGCTCTTTCTTCCTATCTTTTGGCCCCCCACTTCCCCCTCTTTTCCAAGCTGTTGTTTCAAGTCTCTGGTCAGCTTGTAAAGTTTTGTAAAAGAAAAATAATTTTGAAATGGAAGTTCTATGTCTTGCCAACATGGTAGTTAAATGTGGTTGAACTCTAGATGGGCAAACTGCTGCAATCAGATTTACCACAAAGATCCTCACCCAACACTTCTTTGGAGAGAATATTCAAAAAGAAAGTACATGAATGAGATGTTTAGAATACTGCATTACAAAAATTAATCATGAACAAGAACTTCAGTGCTTTTAAAAATAAGTTGAGCCCTGAACAAAGGGAAATGAAAGAGGAACAGATCAAAATGATGTGTGGAGTTGGGGAGGAAAGAGGAAGTAGTGCCAGTTAGTGGAGTCCTGAAAAAGAAGTTAGAGCTATAAACATTCAAAATGATTGTCAACGAAGGAGAGACAGAAAGCATGTGCTAAATATAATAAATGAATCAAATACAACATTTCACCTAATACTTACAAAACGCTAAACTCAATAAATGAAATGTTTCAAAACCGGACTTAAAAAAAAATCTACTTACATCCTGATGACCAAAGGTAGTTAAAAGTTTTAAAAGGAGGGTTGTGAAAAGTTTTCTTATACCAACATTAAAGAAAGCAGTATATGTGTATCGGTGTAATAGTAAACAACCCTAGGACAAAAACTTGCTTCAGATTGGACTTACACTACCCAGTGATAAAGGTTTTAAATTACAGAAAGATGCAACAGTTTTAATTATGTACTTAACCAATAATAATAGGCACATAGTGTTATTTAGTCTTTTGTATTATACAATTATTTAGTATATTTCTTTTAATTTACTATATATTCATATATAATATTTATATTAGAAAATGAAAGGATTACAGGAAAAAGAAGAAAAGCTTTACTACAGTATGAGATTTTAGCACATACTAACTAATGAACAAAGCAAAGTGAGAAAATATTTAGAAAAATTGAGCCACACAGTTAAATTTAAATAAAAATATTGATCTAACATTTAGAGAATTCTGAACCCAATGTTTAAAATTTTACATTCTTTTCAAAAACATATGGAAAGCTTATGTGCATAGACATGAAGGCATTTCACAAGATAGGCATAGATTTAACTGTCTCGTCTGAACTCTCACACCCAAAGTTTACCTCTGACTTTGAAGGAGGCAAGGTGTTCAAAGATGTGAAATAATGCCTCCAGCAGCTGATCTAGAATGGAGCTAAAGCACTTAAGAAAATTTTAAGATGTCATGCAGTTGAGTAACTATTTGTGAAAGAGAAATTTCAAAATTTGTGTGTTCTCCTAACTCCATAACTCTATAACTCCGCTATAGAATACAGTTTTATGTCCAAATATGTCGTTTATTCACTATTGTTTCATGACACTTTTTTCAGTTCATACTCTGTTTTTTGCCCAGAATCCCACAACTGCTAAGTCTTCTCCACACCTTCTAAGCAAGAAGGCCAAAGCCCAATTAAATATTCACTACCCTGCTGTTAACACCCAGACAATGAATTAAAAACTCTGCAGTGATCAAAATGCATTTGCATTGTTCAGACCTCAGCTGTAGCAAAACAAAAATGTGCATGCTTTTCCAAGGAAAGTGAGCATGGAATCAAACTACTGTGTTTCATTTCTCTGAGTATGTGGATACAACTCTCACGCCTTCGAGAAAGACTCAATCTTATGAATGCTGATTTACCAGATCTTCTCTGCAAAATTTCTCAAGACTCACCTCACAGAAATTCCTTTCACAGAAGTCCAGATCCCAGATCTTCTTCAGAAATGTAACGATCAATATTTGTTTAGCTAGAGCAGGAAGAAAGATGAGTGAAGCAAGATCATAGAGATTGCACTACAGGATATTAAAATCTCCTGAAATGCTAAGAAAACACTGGCACTGGTTTGAGTCACTTGATGACTTGGCTAGTGCGGTTACCTCATACTGAGCTACATCCCCAGAGAGAGAAGTTATGAAGCAATTCTGAGATTCCTTCCATCAGCGTTCTTAGTTTTATATTTTCTTAGCCAGAGAAACTAAAGAGTCTTGATATAAACATTTTAGAATGAAAAATAAGAGCTAAATCATTAATGAATGAATCTATTTATACAAATATCCTAACTGAGTTACACATCAAAACTTTGCTATCATCAGACTTTAATGTGAATTAGTAGATACCAACCAAAGTCCCTTAAGGGAGTTCTAATCTCAAAGGAGATTAAGTGAACCAGTGGGTTTCTTTCTACATATCTCAGAGGAGCAGGAAGAGATGCAGGAAGAGGCATGCATTTCTACCAGGACTTGAGTACACATCTCTCTCTCTCTTTCTCTTATGTCACTGTTTATTTTGTGCATTTTTTCATCTCAGTTGTAATCCCCATGAGCTACCTACCACCAATTCACCCGTGTGCCATCATCACAGTCCAGTGCACTCTTCCCACCCCAGTTCCAGGGAGAAAGACTGTGAAGTTGCTTGTGGTTTCAATAGTATACAACACAGTTATATATATATATATATATATATATAAAGAGAGAGAGAGAGAGAGAGTCATTAATAGGCATTCCAGAGGCATACAATCATTACTTACATGTAAATTTTTCCTTGCAATTTGGAAATGAATTTTGCAAAGTTATTTTCTTAACAAAACCAGAGTCCATTATATCTATGATTCAATTTTATAACTACTCTTGCCTGTCAGAATTATTCACAGCAACAACAGTGAATGATGGGCTTATTATCATGACTTCAATGATTCCTACAAATTCTGGAAGCACACTGAGCTTCTAAAAGGGTTTAGGACTTCATATTTTCCCAAGGCATTTTCCTATGTAGCACCACATGCATACAATTTGGAGATGTCAAATAAATGCAAACATTCCCAGATAGCAATTTGGAAATCCACTATTGAGCTGCATGAAGTTCCATGGAGTGGAAAACATCCCCAAACTGCTACAAGATGATTTCAAGTCATCTGAAGGGAGATGATTTTGAGTCATCTGAAGGGAGAAGAAAATTTCTGTGTTTATTTAAGCTAGATTTAGGGAGAAAGAGTCCATGTCTGAATATAAAAAATGCCTGAATTGCAAAAGATTGTACCTGGAAATCAAGGCAGATCTGACCCAAGCTGGTGGGTTCCCAGCATTCTTGATAATAGACTGGAGTGCTACTTGTGGGTTATGTAAGTGTCTTGATGTAAAGGATAGAGAGGGAGGTTCAGGAGCAAAAGTATCCCAAGCCAGAGACAAGGAGGCAGAGAACATTTAGCAAGAATGACCACCAGTGAGAGCATTTCCCTCTCTTTTCACCGGAAGCTAACTATGTGAAGTGATTCTGGCCACTGTTTCTCAGCAGAATGCACATGTTACTCACCAAACAAAGGAAAGTTGGAACAATGCTCCTAAGTCACCACATCTTTTTTAGATTTTTTTAAAATGAATCAAATAAATGGAAAAATATGTCCTCCTGATTTCAGTGTTCAAATGATGGGTGATTTGGGCATCACGGGCAGTCATTTCACAGGCACTCAGTTGTTTCAGAGGAATACTCATCATTGTTCTTCTAGAATTCACAAATTAAGAATAGAGCCATGAAAAACTAAGAGGATTCTTATGGGAAAAGTACCTGAAAAAAAAAAAAAACTGTGGTCTTCTACAATCTCCAGTAATACCTGAGAAGTTTACTAAAAAATTCTCAGTGAAGAGTCCATACCAGGCAATGCCGAATATCTAGCAAATATCAAAAGTTTCCAAAGGAAAGAAGCTAGAGCATATGAAAGAGCATTGCACCCAGAGATAACAGCCAACTTCTTAAAATCCATTAACAGGCTTTTGGATAAAGATATAGGATGAGACCTGTAGATGCAGAGAAAAAAAAAATGGAAAAGGGATTTCTTATATGTAAGGAGCAGAACAAACTCCATTAGTGTGATCCTGAGTGATTTATATATTTATCAAGCAATCAGTCAACTGAATGAATCTTTTATGAGAAAAAACATTTGGCCATATTGATTATCTTCATGCTTTTCTGTCTGTTTTACCACTTGTTTTCTCTCTCTGTTTAGTTTGTATATTGATATCTGCTTATAGCTTTGTTAGTTCTACATACTATTTATTGTTTCTTTTCCTTTTTTTGTATTGCAAGTTATAAATTTATATCAATTACAATGCTATCTTTTTCTTTTTTAATATGAACAATAAATAGTATGTAGAACTATCTTTTTCTTTTTTCATATTTTTATTTTAAGAATAAAAAACTTTCTTCTAAATATAGTTTTTGCTCTTTTCTTTAGGTTTTATGGAGTGTTTACTTATTATCTCTAACAAAACTTGATGTGTATTAATGAATAGCTTATTTTTGAATGTTATATAATTTTGAGATATCTGAGCATTTTTAAATATTGTATTATTGATTTCTGATTTACCCTGTTGTCATCATGAAATAGACTCTAACATTTCAGTCATGAGTTTTACTGAGACTAACTGTAAATCTCCATGTATGTTTTACCTTGGTGAGCATGTGTTCAAAAACAATGTGTAGAAAGACAGATAAGAATTACATGTGACAATCTCAGAAATCATGCAAGCAAGAAAAGAGTAGAATATTTGTGTTGAGAGAAAAAAATCCATCAACCTAGAATTCTGTACAGGCAAAATTATTCTTCAAGAGTAAAAAGAATTTAAATACTCACTCAGGCAAACAAAAGCTGAGGAAACTGCTGCAGTAGATTTGTCTTGCATTGAATGTTATAAAAAGTTCTTCAGACATAGGTAGATGATATAGGTCAAAAACAAATCTACATGGGCAGATAGGCTGCATCAGAAGAACACTTTGTGGAAAGAGAGTTGTTTAAAAGTGGGAAGTAAGACTGGATCATGGGCTTAATAGAAGCAAGTCAGAGCAGGTGTTATAGGTACACTCATCTGATTCCTCACAGAGATGAGCAATTGCACTAATACAGCGTTTAACCCAGGTGAGTGACATAGTAACAACAGAATTAAGTCTCAGAGTAGCAACAGTAGCTGGAATGCACCTGACAGGAAAGGTGTAAGACCTTTCTTAGTTGCTTCTATGAAGCCGGTCACCCACACTTGCCTCTCAATATTAGAAGGAAAATCTGCAGTTTTCTGCAGGCATGGAATAGAGCTGTCCACTGCAGAGACAATTATAGTAGTATATGCAGGAAAGGTAGATGGTGGGGATTTGGTCATTTTTTAAAATAAACTTTAGTAAATTCATTACATGAGTATTTTATACTCGTGGATTCCTTTTTTTTATATTTATGGAGCTGGAAAATTGACCATTATATATTAATTAATAATAGTCCGATGTTATTTTCAGAAATGCTAACATTAATTAATTATTTGATATTATTCTTAGAAACCTTAAATGTCTAATAGGAGAATGTCTGAAAGAGTGTATAGAAATGAGGTATAATTTGGTGTTGGGATTTAATGTAAATTTAATTATTTAGGGTTATATAGTTGCTTATCTGTATTGAACTATGTATTAATTTTGTACAAAGAAAGAGAAAAGGAATGAGAAAGAATTATAGATCATGAAGTTTTACAAGTATCTCCCACCACAATCTTTTTTTCATCATGTTTGAAAAAATACATTTTGACTAGTTGTTATTGATATTTGAATACGTTATTAGACATTTCCTATTATTTTTATAACAGAAGAGACTGGCAAGTTCAGATTTCAGAGTATGCCACAAACACATATGATTATCGCAGCTTACTCGCTTTTATTCTACTCTTGAGGTAAAATCTTCTGCCTGAATTTCCTCTAATTCCTCAATTCTCCTTCCTGTCCCACCTCTGTATGTATGAACACGCATGACCCAGGCCTGGAATTTTCTTCAGAAATACAGGAATCTAGAGGCTGAACTCTAGAATGTTAAAATCTTGTTAAAGGTTAAGAGAACGATGTATTTTTTAAGAACTTTTTCTTTTTTTGTCATTTTCATGTTCTTCTTCTTTCTTTCATCATTTTTTCTTACAACGTTTGATTTCTTTTCTCAGGTGTAGTCCCCATAGAATTTCCATCACCAATTCACTCATTTTGATCCCTTTCCCTCCCCCTCCTCTACAAAATGTCTCTGATTCATAATTTTGTTTGTTGTAGGTTTTTTTTATTATTTATTTTTCCCCTGATCCCCTATATTACTCCTATAAATGACACCATCCTGTATTTTTCTTTTTCCTTCTAACTTATCTCATTGAGCATAATCCTTTTAAGCTCCATCCATGTTGCTGCAAGTGGCATTAGTTTATCTTTTTTAATTGCTGAATAGGTCACATTTTCTGATCCAGTCAGCTATTTTGGGGCATTTTTGTTGATTTCAAGTCTTATTTAGTATAAATAGTGCCTTAATAAACATAGGGGTACAGGTATTCTTTTGAATTAATGCTTTTGTGTCCATTGGGTAGATCCTTAGGAGTGGAATTGCTGGGTCATATGGTATCTCCATTTTTAGTAGGCTGAGGAACATCCATACAGTTTTCCATAGTGGTTGGACAAGTTTGCATTCCCATAAGCAGTGTAGAAGAGTTCCTTTCCACCACATACTTGCCAATATTTGTAGTTGCTAGCTTTTTTATTATGTGCCAAGAGTATGAAGTATTTTGAAAGATAAGAAGGAAAAATGGCACTGATTTGAGGCAATTAAAAAATGAACTAGACTTGATTTCTTCACACAGTACAAAAAGAGTTTCGAAAAGCCTCATGAAATCCCAGAGTGAGAGAAGTTCTGAAACAATTAAGAGACTCCACCCATTGACATTCTTAGACTTGAATACCCTCAGTCAGGGAAGTAAATT